TTGGAAAACCCTGCAAGATATAGGTACCGGCAAAGACTTCTTGGAAAACACCCCAGAAGCACAGGCAGTCAAAGCCAAAATTAACATTTGGGATTGCATCAAATTGAGAAGTTTCTGTACTGCAAAAGAAACAGTCAGGAAAGTGAAGAGGCAAAAAACAGAATGGGAAAAAATATTTGCAAACTGTGCAACAGAAAAAAGGGTTGATAACCAGAATCTACAAAGAGATCAAGAAACTCCACAAAAACAAAACCAACAACCCACTTAAGAGATGGGCCAAGGACCTCAATAGACATTTTTCAAAAGAGGAAATCCAAATGGCCAACAGGCACATGAAAAAATGTTCAAGGTCACTAGCAATCAGGGAAATGCAAATCAAAACCACAATGAGGTTTCACCTCACCCCGGTTAGAATGGCTCACATTCAGAAATCTACCAACAACAGATGCTGGCGAGGATGTGGGGAAAAAGGGACACTAACCCACTGTTGGTGGGAATGCAAACTGGTCAAGCCACTATGGAAGTCAGTCTGGAGATTCCTCAGAAACCTGAAGATAACCCTACCATTTGACCCAGCCATCCCACTCCTTGGAATTTACCCAAAGGAAATGAAATTGGCAAACAAAAAAGCTGTCTGCACCTTAATGTTTATTGCAGCTCAATTCACAATAGCTAAGACCTGGAACCAACCCAAATGCCCATCAACAGTAGACTGGATATAGAATACTACACAGCAGTCAAAAACAATGAAACCCGGTCATTTGCAACAAGATGGAGGAATCTGGAAAACATCATGCTGAGTGAAATAAGCCAGAACCAAAGGGACAAATATCGTATGTTCTCCCTGATAGGTGACAACTAACTGAGCACCAAAGGGGAAACCTGTTGAAGTGAAATGGACACTATGAGAAACAGTGACTTGATCCACCCTTGCCCTGACTGTTGATGAACAACTTAATACGTTATCCCTCTTAGTTTTTTTTTTTTGTAATACTTAATACTTTTGGTTGAATACTGTAATCAATACACAGTTATTCTTAAGTGTTGAAACTTAACTGAAAAGTGATTGCTGTTAAATATAAGAGTGGGAATAAGAGAGGGAAGAGATGTACAATTTGGGACATGCTCAAGCTTACTTGTCCCAAAGGGTAGAGTTAGAAACATACCAAGGGATTCCAATTCAATCCCATCAAGGTGGCATGTACCAATGCCATCTCACTAGTCCCAGTGATCAATTTCTGTTCACAATTTATCATAATGATAGGACTAAGAGCCAAAGGGATCACATAAACAAGAATAGTGTCTGCAAATACTAGCTGATAGAATAAAAAAGGGAGAGAATGATCCAACATGGGAAGTGAGATACACAGCAGACCCCTGGAATGGCAGATGTCCTAAACAGCACTCTGGCCTCAGAATCAGCCCTTAAGGCATGTGGATCCGGCTGAAAAGCCAATGAGAGTATTTCAGGCATGGAAAGCCAATACACTCTGGGGGAAAAAAAAAAACACAAAAACCTAAATGAAAGATCTCCGCGAGTGAGATCCCAGTGGGAAGAATAGGTCATCAAAGAAGGAGGTACCTTTCTCTGAAGGGAGGAGAGAACTTCCACTCCGACTACGACCTTGTCTAAATATGATCAGAGTCGGTGAACTCAAAAGGCTTCCATAGCCTTGGCAGCTCATGACAAGAGCCTAGGGTGATTACTGATGCCATAAACAAGAGTGTCAATTTGTAAAGTCAACAACAGGAGTCACTGTGCACTCACTCCTCATGTGGGCTCTCTGTCCTTAATGTGCTGTACATTGTGATTTAATGCTCTATCTCGTACTCAAACAGTATTTTTCACTTTGTGTTTCTATGTGGGAGCAAACTGTTGAAATCTTTACTTAATGTATGCTAAACTGATCTTCTGCATATAAAGAGAATCGAAAATGAATCTTGATGTGAATGGAAGGAGAGAGGGAGCGGGAAAGGGGAGAGTTGCGGGTGGGAGGGAAGTTATGGAGGGGAAGCCATTGTAATCCATAAGCTGTACTTTGGAAATTTATATTCATTAAATAAAAGTTAAAAAAAAATATAGAGTTTTAACCCCATTCACATTCTCAACTTTTTATTTTATTTTATTTGTTTTCCTATCCCACGTATTATTTTTTTTTTACTTAAAATCAGAGTTACACAGAGAGAGGAGAGGCAGAGACAGATGGTTCAGGCATCTGCTGGTTCACTCCTCAATTGGCCGCAACCGCTGGTGCTGCACTGATCAGAAGCCAGGAGCCAGGAGTTTCCTCCAGGTTTCCCATGTGGGTGCAGGGGCCCAAGGATTTGGGCCTTCTTCTATCGCTTTCCCAGGCCATAGCAGAGAGCTGCATCAGTAGTGGAGAAGCCAGGTCTCGAACTGGTGCCCATATGGCATGCCAGCACTGCAGGCCAGGGCGTTAACCCGCTGCACAAGTCCTTACCTTTTTAATGTAGTAAGCATGTAATGTACAAAACATATTTAAATTTAAAATTTGGCATTTGGTGCAGTGGCTAAGATGCCACTTAAGATGCCCACATCCCATATCAGAGTGCCTAGGTTCCAGTCTTTGCTCTGATTCTGATTTCATCTTTCTGCTAATGCGCATCCTGGGATGCAGCAGGTAATGGCATAGTACTTGTGACCCATCATCCACCTGGGAGACACATACTGAGTAATTGGCTCCTGGCTTTGGCCTGGCCCTGGCAGTTGCAGGCTTCATTTGGTGACAATTTCTATTTGTCTTTGTTTCTCTGTTCGCTCTCTACTTTGCAAATAAGATTTTTTAAAAAAAAAATCAAGTCTTATATAATACCTTAAAAAAAAAAAACAGAAAAGAAATGTTACAACCATTAAAATTGGGCTATAGGGACTGGCACTGTAGTATAGTAGGCTAAGCCTCCACCTGCAGCACCAGCATTCCATATAGACTCCAGTTCAAGTCTTGGCTGCTCTACTTCTGATCCAGCTCCCTGCTAATGGTTTGGGAAAGCAATGGAAGATGGCCCAAGTTCTTGGGTCCTTTAACCCATGTAGGAGTCCTGGAAGAAACTCCTGGCTCCTGGCTTCGGGTCATCCCAGCTCTGGCCATTGTGGCCATTTGGGGAATGAACCACCGGATGGAAGACCCCCCTTGTTAGGAAAATGGCACAGTTTTATCTATGGCATGATCTGTACGTTGATTTACATCCCAAGCTCTAGCCCCCGCCGCCATTGCTGAAAGTCAGGTAGCCACATGGCCCAAACTACATGGGCCAAGCTCCACCCCCAACCTAATGGGATTCGCTGCTCCTGCTTCCCTGCCTGCCATCGGGCAAAGTTTTAAAAGGGCCTGTTCCTGAACACGTGCCCTCTTGGCTTCTCTCCTACTCTCTTGGCCCCGTCTCTCTGCCTTATCTTCTCTCCTCGCTATCTCCTCTCCTCTGGCTCTCTCTTATACTTTCTCTCTCCTATCCTTCTTTGTCCCTCCCCTCCAGTCTGCTGGGTTTCCCCCAATAAACTCCCTTACTCTGGTGTTCGGTGTGTTTTGTGACGGCTAACACCTCTCTGTCTCTCTGTCTATAACTTTGCCTCTCAAATAAAGAAATTAAAAAAAAAAAAAACAAAACAAAACAAAAAACAAAACTGGGCTATAGGAGTAGTGTTTCGAGAAACTATTAATCATGACTCATAATTCAAGATGCAGAGAATAATTTAGAAAATGTAGAATTCATATCTCATAAGAATCCAGTAAGTACCTGCACAAATTTGTCTTTGTGGGCTTCTTCTACGATATACTTAACCCAAATCTCTTAGGTTAGGGTTTGAGAATTGTCAACTATATTAGGCACTCAAGGTGATTCTAATATTAGGTAAAACATAGACCATTCTTCATAAAATATTAGAGTACATCAAAAAGTTCACGGAGGGGCTGGCGCCGTGGCTCACTTGGTTAAGCCTCCGCCTGCAGTGCCACCATCCCATAAGGGCGCCAGGTTCTAGACCCAGTTGCTCCTCTTCCAGTCCAGCTCTCTGCTGTGGCCTGGGAGGGCAGTGGAGGATGGCCCAAGTGCTTGGGTCCCTGCACCCGCATGGGAGACTAGGAGGAAGCACCTGGCTCCTGGCTTCGGATCGGCGCAGCGTCGGCCATGGCAGCCATTTGGGGAGTGAACCAATAGAAGGAAGACCTTTCTCTCTGTCTCTCTCTCTCAGTGTCTAAAACTCTGTCAAATTAAAAAAAAAAAAAAGTTCAGGGAAAATGAAATTAAAAGACAAGTTTATTTGGTGCAAAAAAACTTTGAAACCTGTGCAGCTTTCCCATAGGATGCATTTTCCATTAACTTCTGGGAGACTTCACCCACTGATTCAGACCATTCACATAACTTGAGGATCCAATACCAAAAATTGTCCCTTCAGGTGTTCCTTCTGTTCCTCTCAACTTTCTAGACTTTCCAGAATAAATTAAAGAAATGATACTGAATATTTACATTTTCTATAGCACCATAATTTTGAATAATTTCATTTCACAAAGTATGTGTTTTCCTTCTATATAAGAAAGAAAGGTTACCTATATGATTTTTAATTATTATAAAATTAGGGGCCAGCATGGCAGTGGTGCAGTGGGTTAAACTGCCACCTGAAGCATCGGTATTCCAAATTCAAGTCCCTGTTATTTCACTTCCAATCTAGCTCCCTGCTGATTCCTTGGGAAGGCAACAGAGAGTGGTCCAAGATGCTGTGCCATTGCTACCCATGTGAGAGACCTGGAAAAAGCTCCTTGCTCTGGCCTGGCCCAGCACGGGTTGCTGCGGCCATTTGCAGAGTGAACCAGAGAATGCAAGATCTCTCTGTCTCACTTTCTCTAACTAGCTCTGCCTTTCAAATAAATAAATAAATCTTAAAAATAAATTAAAGGGTGTGGGTTAAACAGCAAATACAAATAAACTATATAAAATATCTAACTGTTCACATATATGTATATGAATCTGTAAAATGCAATTACCTGATAGAGTTATAGATGGCCAGTGGAGTTTGATCCTTTTCTTTGGCTATTCTCATCATATCTAACACTGCCATCCCAAGACATTCTTCCTGAGTTTCGTGAGTCACAGGTACTTTGATCCAACCATGCACAAAATCATGCCGCCACTAAAAGAAATAAATTTTATAAGGAGATATCTCATTATATGTTTCACTTTCACATTTTAACCTCCTACTAAATTCTAACCCATAATATAATTTCTAGAACATGTGCATTTAAAAGATATAAATCAATTACTCCTTTGATTTTTCATTCTGTCATAAAATTTTAGACATTTACATTTATAAACAGACTGAATTAAATCAGATTTTCAATTTATAGTACATATGGCATCAACCTATTTCACTAGATATATCTTTAAATTATGTCTTCTACATGAAAAGTACCAGGGTGTGGGCCATCATGGCACAGAGGATAAAGCCATACCATATGGGCACAGGTTTAAGTCACAGCTCTGGAAAGCAGTGGAAGATGGCCAAATATTTGAGACCCTGTCACCCAAATGGTAGACCCAATGAAGCTCCTGGCTCCTGGTTTCAGCCTGGCCCAGCCCCAACCATTGCGCTATTTGGGGAGTGAGCTAGAGGACGGAAGATCAATCTCCCCCTATCTCCTTCTCTCTGAAACTCTGCCTTTCACATAAAATAAATCAATCTTCTAAAAACAAAAATGACTGGGGTGGATATTTGTCCTCGTGCTTTTCAGACACTGAGTGGGGGGACTGGTGCTGTGGTGTAGCAGGTAAAGCCGCCACCTGCTCCACTTCCGATTCAGCTCCCTGGTATGGCCTGGGAAAGCATTAGAGGATGGCCCAAGTCCTTGAGCCCCTGCACCCATGTGTGAGACCTGGAAGAAGCTCCAGGCTCCTGACTTTGGATCTGCCCAACTCTAGCCATTGCAGCCATTTGGGGAATGAACCATCAGATGAAAGACCTCTCCCTCTCTCTCTCTCTCTCTACCTTTATAACTTTGCCTTTCAAATAAAAATAAATAAATCTTTTAAAAAAAAGAGGACACTGGGTGTGATGCCTGTGTACCACTTTGTAGTACTGGGTTCAAAAACCAGGTCTGGCTCATAACTCCAGCTTTCTGTGAATGCAAACTCTAGGAGGCAGATGGACTCAAGTAATTGGGTTCCTGCCACTCACATGGAAGATACAGATTGAGTTCCCACTCCCAGATTTGGCCCAGCCTCTGCCCTTGAGGGCATGTGAGAAGGAAACCAGCAGATGGGAGTTCTAACACACTCTTTTTCTGTCTACTCTCAAATAAAGAAATTCAATTATATGAATTAAAAAAGGTATTAACCAAAATTGTACTGATTTTCAATTATGTACAAAGAACTATACTGTAGACTGTGGCAGATGCATGAATATATTATATATATAAATATAGTCTCAGTCATCAAGAGGACTAAAATCTGCTTGAAAACTAAACATGTAAACAAATAATTATAATGCCAGATATTGAATAGGAAGTACCATACAATAGCTGCCTCTAGAACTTAGAGAAAGTTGAAATTATATCCAAATGGGGTAATCAGAGAAGGTTGCATGGAAGATCTCAGAACTTCTGTAATCTTTAAAGATGAATAAAGTTGGGTTTTTTTTTGTTTTGTTTTTTTTGTTTGTTTTTTCTTTTTTTTTTTTTGACAGGCAGAGTGGACAGTGAGAGAGAGAGAGAAAGAAAGGTCTTCCTTTTGCCGTTGGTTCACCCTCCAATGGCCGCCGCGGCCGGCGCACTGCGCTGATCCGATGGCAGGAGCCAGGTGCTTCTCCTGGTCTCCCATGGGGTGCAGGGCCCAAGCACTTGGGTCATCCTCCACTGCACTCCCGGGCCACAGGAGAGCTGGCCTGGAAGAGGGGCAACCAGGACAGAATCCGGCGCCCCGACCGGGACTAAAACCCGGTGTGCCAGCGCCACTAGGCGGAGGATTAGCCTATTGAGCCGTGGCGCCGGCTTAAAGTTTTGATATATAAAACAAGATCGAGAAACATCAGGAATGATGTAAAAACAAAGCAAAAAGTATGTTCAGAGATGTAAATAATTCTAGCTGGGGAGTGCATTTCATGTAAGGGAATGGCATACATTAAATCTTGGAAAGTCAAGTTGAGATCAGACCATGGGTTGAATAACATGACCTTAGATGCAATGAAGATCCATTTCTTGAGGCATCAATTTTGACAAAATCTGTTCCATTGATAGAGTAGTAGCAATGATAGATGTACTTGAAGCAAATAAAATGTATTCATGGAGAAGTTTTAAGAGGCTGTACATGGTTCAGATAGGAGAAAACAAGTATCTAACATAGTAAACAGAACACACTCAGGGTCTACAAAAATTGATAATTTTATTAATTACATAAAAGAAATGAAGAAAAGAGAAAAACAGAAGTTCCAAGATTTTGATAGCTAAGGCTGGTCTAGGCCATAAAGCTGGGAGCCCAGAACTGATTCTAAATCTCCCATGTGAGTAGCAGGGACTCAAGTACTTCAGTAAAATCTGCTGTCTCACAGGGTGAGCATCAGCAGGAAGCTGGAATCAAAACAGTACCTAGACTCAAAGCAGGTATCCCAAGATGTACTTTAACTGCTACATCAAATACCTGTTCCCTTTTTTCCCTCAAATTTAAACAATTATTTCACATTCTTTTTTTTATAAGGGGAAAATAAATTATGCTGTTTAGTTTACAGCTATAGATAACTGATGACTAGAAATTTTTGAATAGTTTCCTTTTGTTCCATGCACTAAACAGAACTAGTAATAGATAATACATTCTGCTCCTGAGGAAATTCTATGGAATTCATGATCAAAAGATAATAAGTATATGAAAAATACATGGTAGCAGTAATAAAAATTTAATTAACCAAATATTCATTAAAGTCCAAACTGCCAAAACATTATTTTAAACCAGCATTTTTTAAACATCACAGTATGTGTCCCAAAAATTTTCATTTAATTAAAATTATAGAAAAGTTTTTTTCATCATTGTAGTTTATTTTTCAACTAAGAAATTTATATTTCTATTAGCCAGAAAAATAAGAAAACAGTTGCAAAGTCTAAAATGAACCAAATACACAGCTTTTGGTGAACATAAAAGAATGAAGAGTTGTTCACATATATGCAGTGTTATTTGCTGAGTAGCCATATCTGAAGAAAGAAATACAATTAATTCCCAAAGGAAACAATTTTAATGGAGCATCTCACTTTGACATTTATCTGCTTGGTTTTTTTTTTTTTTTCAAACTCCTCTTTCTACAGATATCATCTTAAACACTTTAAAGATGGTTTAGCTGCTGATCTATTTTTTAGTTATTTAGAGATGCCAACATATATTTTGGTAATTCCACTGGTCAAATATGCTATATATAGTCTATAATGTGCATACAGTCTAACTTGATATCAGTACAATCTTCCTAATAAGTTAAATGCTATCTTATTTATTTGTTGGGTACAGACTACACAAACTAACATACCTCATTTTTGGTTATCTACCTTCTTTACATTTCACTATCCAATATTTAATCAGAAATTTTTTAAAAACTGAAGAGATTTTACCTTCCAATATTTCAGCCACTCTGTCTACATGAATCATGTTGTTAAACTGTCTATACTTTATAAAATTCTTAAAGTTATCTAAATCCCAAAACTAAAAGTAATGAAAATTCAAAAGGATCAATTCAAAGAATCTTTATGAAACAGATTCTATTATCATGGGATTAAAAATTAGTGACAGGGGCCGGCGCTGTGGTGCAGCAGGTTAAGCTGTGACCTGCAGCACCAACATCTCATATAGGTACCATTTTGAGTCCCAGCTGCTACACTTCCAGTCAAGCTCCCTATTAGTGCAGCTGGGAGGGCAGTAGAAGACGCCCCAAGTCCTTAGGCCCCTGCACCCATGTGAGAGACCAAGAGGAAGTTCCCGGCTCCTGGCTTTGGCCTGACCCAACTCTTGCCATTGTAGCCATTTGGGGATTGAACCAGAGGATGGAAGATCTCTCTCAGTCTCTCCTCCCTCTCTGTAACTGCTTTTCAAATAAATAAATAAATCCTTTTTAAAAAAATAGTGATAAAAACTTTATTTTGTTACCTTTTGTACCTGCTATGCAAAACAGAATGCAATTTTCTCAGTTAAGAGATCTACTACACACAGTGAGATACTTATCACTTAATGCATGTACAAATAAAATATAACATACCTGAGCAAAAAGGTAAGACATGACAAAGTCATCAAGAAGAGGTGCTTCAGCACCTCGAGATACTCCGTGTCGATAAGTTCTGTTGCTACCATTACAATACCAGTGAGGAAAGTAAAATCTACAAGATAGTTAACACATTCTGTTATCCTCCGAGTAGTTCAAATATAAATACAGAGTGTATACTCATCCAGCATTCTGAAAGGTATTATGCCATAATCAGAAAACATAAATAGCCATGTTTGGTACAAATTTGGAACAAAAGGTTTCTGGGTAAGACCACGATAATAACACAGGCAGAAAATAAAAGAAATCAAGTGTAAAATCAATACCTTTCTTCTTTCAGTGTACAGAGTATAGAAGCAATAATAGGAAACAGAGAAGTGTAGAAGTAAAAATAGTAACAGTAACATAAAAATTTTAAAGCAGCAACATCAGAAGAGGAATAATCAAGTGCTAGTTTGGTGTGAAAACAGTTAATTGCTTGTTTGAGAGAAATGGAGGTTAAAAACTTATCCTTCAAAGAAGAAAAATGTTCTAATACTGACTTTTTAAATAAAAGTGCTAATAGGATATAATTTATATACCATAGAGTTCACCCAAATAAAGTGTACAATTCACTGCTTTTTAGTATATCACAGCACCACAGTTGAATTTGAGAACATCTTCTGGGGCCAGCATTGTAGCATAATAGCACCTGAATGCTAGCATCCCATATGGGTGCCAGTTCAAATTACAGCTGCTCCACTTCCAATCCAGCTCCCTGCTGATGTGCCTTGGGAAAGCAGCAGAAGATGGCCCAAATCCTTGGGCCCCTGCACTCATGGGGGGAACCTGGATGAAGCTTCTGGCTACTGCTGCCATTTAGGGAGTGAACCAGCAGATAGAGATTTCTTTCTCTCTCTCTCTCTCTCTCTCTCTTTCTCTCTCTCTCTGTAAATCTGACTTTCAAATAAATAAATCTTCACAAGCAGTTTCTTCATTTGTGGGTTGTCTTTCCACACTTCTGACAGTGTCCTTTAAAGCACAAATATTCTTAATTTTGATAATTCCGCATTTATATGTTTTTCTTTTATTATCTGAGCTTTTAGTGTTCTAAGAAACCACTACCTAATCTAGGTAAAGATTTTCCCTTACATTTCTTCTAAGAATTTTATACTTTTGGCTCTAAGGTTTAGGTCTATGATCCAATTTGAAGTTACATTTTGTGTATAGTATGAGGCAATGGTTCAAGTGGATATCCAGTTGTCTGAGTACCCTTTGTTGAAAAGACTATTCTGGGGTCAGTGCTGTGGCATACTGGGTAAAGCTGTCGCCTGCAGTGTCAGCATCCCACATGGGCACCGGTTCGAGTCCCAGCTGCTCCACTTCTGATGCAGCTCTCTGCTACAGCCTGGGAAAGCAGTGGAAGATGGCCCAAGTCCTTCGGCACCTGCACCCACGTAAGAGACCCGAAGGAAGCTCCTAGATTCTGGCTTCGGATCGGCGCAGCTCCGACCTTTGGAGCCAGCGGATGGAAGATCTCTCTCTCTCTTTCCGTGTGTGTGTGTGTGTGTGTGTGCAACTTGTCAAAAATAAATTACCATTAATTTAAGAAATTAGTTTTGGATTGCCAATTCTATTCCTCTGATCAATGTACTTGGATATGTACATGGTATGATACTTATCATATCATACCACACTGTCTTGCTTACTGCAGTTTTGTAGTAAATTTTAATATTAGAAAGTTTAAGTCTTCAGGTGCCAGCACTGTGGTTAAGCTATAGCTGCAGCAGGTTTGGGTCTCATTGCTCCACTTTAAATCCAGCTCCCTTCTACTGTGCCTGGAAAAGCAGTGGAAGATTGCCCAAGTACTTGAGCCTCTGCCACCTACATGGGAGATCCAGTGAAGATCCTGGTTCCTGGCTTCAGCCAGGCCCAACAGTGGTCACTGTGGCCATTTTGGGAATGAACCCACATATGGAAGATCTCTGACTGTCCTTCTCTCTAACTCTGCCTTTCAAACAATAACAATTAAAAAAAGCTAAAATCTTGCAAGTTTGTCCTTTTTAAATATTATTTTTGCTATGCTAGTTCCCTTATAATATCCATTCCACACTGTCTTGATTACTGTCACATTTTGTAGTAATTTTTTTTTTTTTTGACAGGCAGAGTTTGTGAGAGAGAGAGACAGAGAGAAAGATCTTCCTTCCGTTGGTTCACCGCCCAAATGGCCGCTACGGCCGGTGCAGGAGCCAGGTGCTTCCCCCTGGTCTCCCATGCAGGTGCAGGGCCCAAGCACGTGGGCCATCCTCCACTGCCTTCCCGGGCCATAGCAGAGAGCTGGACTGGAAAAGGAGCAACCGGGACAGAATCCAGCACCCCAACCGGGACTAGAACCCAGTGTGCCGGCACCACAGGCGGAGGATTAGCCAAGTGAGCCACAGCGCCAGCCTGCAGTAAATTTTGAGATTAAAAAGTTTAAGTCTTCCAACTTTGTTCTTTTTAAAGATTGTCTTTGCTATGCTAATTCCCTTTTACTTTTATATGAATTTTATGATTAACTTGTCAATTTCTCCAATAAAGACAGCTAGGATTTGAGTAGAGAATGCATTGAACACATAGACTGATTTGTGGAATAACTCCTATCTTTAACAACATGAAGTTCTCCAAGCAAGAGCTATCTTTCCTTTCATTTAAGTGCTTCTTTAATTTCTTTTAATGGTGTTTTTCAATACACAAGTTTTATACTTATTACTTAAGTATAAACTTGTTTATTTCTAAATATTTTTGATGCTATTATAAATAAGATTGTGTTCTTAATTTCATTTTTGGATTTTTCTCTGCTTTTGAATAGTAATACAATTTATTTCTGTAAACTGATCTTTCCTATAACCATGCTGAGCTCTTTTCTGATCATTTATTAATTCCTTAGGGTTGTTTATATACAAGATCATATCATCTGTAAAGAGACAGTTTTATTCCTTTTCTAACCTGAATGTTTTTTCTTTTTCTTGACTAATTCCCCTGACTAGATTCTACAGTACAGTTACTGTTACATAAAGGTAATGAGAGCAGATAGCCTTGCTCCTGATGTAAGAAGAAAACATTCAGTTTTTCACTATTAAGTATGCTGTAGGGGGCCAGAGTTGTGGCACAGTGGGCTAACACCCTTGCCTGAAGTAACGGCATCCCATATGGTCATCGATTCTCGTCCTGGCTGCTCCTCTTCCGATGCAGCTCTCTGCTATGGCCTGGGATAGCAGTAGAAGATGGCCCAGGTCCTTGGGCCCCTGCACCCACATGGGAGACCCAGTAGAAGCTCCTGGCTTCTGGCTTCGGATCGGTGCAGTTCTGGCCATTGCAGCCAACTGGGGAGTGAACTATCAGATGGAAGACTTCTCTCTCTCTGCCTCTCCTCTCTCTGTGGAACTCTGACTCTCAAGTAAAAAAAAAAATAAATCTTAAAAAAAAAAGTGGGGCCGGTGCTGTGGCGCAGTGGGTTAAAGCCTCGGCCTGAAGCACCAGCATCCTATCTGGGCGCCGGTTCTAGTCCCAGCTGCTCCTCTTCCAATCCAGCTCTCTGCTATGGCCCGGGATAGCAGTAGAAGATGGCTCAAGTCCTTGGGCCCCTGCACTCACATGGGAGACCCAGAAAAACCTGGCTCCTGGCTTCGGATTGGCGCAGCTCTGGCCATTGAAGCCATCTGGGAAGTGAACCAGCGGACAGAAGACCTCTCTGTCTCTACCTCTCTCTCTGTAACTCTGTCTTTAAAATAAATAAAATAAATTAAAAAAAAAAAGTATGCTGTAGATTTAGGAATTTTTTTATTCCCTAATGGACTTCTCTTTTTTAAAAAAAGATTATTTATTTATTTATTTATTCATTTATCTAAAAGGCAGAATTACAGACAGAGAAAGGCAGAGACAGAAAGGCCTTCAATCCACTGGTTCATTTCCCAAATGACCGCAGTGGCCAGAGCTGGGAAGATCTGAAGCCAGGATCTAGGAGCCAGAGGTTTCCTCTGGGCAGGAACCAAGCACTTGGGCCATCTCCCACTGCTTTCCCAAGCCATAAGCAGAGAGCTGGATCAGAAGAGGAGCTGCTGGGACATGAACTGGTGCCCACATGGGCCAACAGTGCTGCAGGCAGAGGCTTAGCCTACAATGCCACAGCACAAGCCCTGGTTTAAGAATTTTTATGGATGCCCTTTATCAAATGGAGAAAGTTCCCTTCCATTCCTATTGGGTTAGTTATTTTTATCATAATAGGATGTTAGATATTTGTCAAAAACTTTTTCCTTGTCTACTGAGATGATCATTTATTCTACTATTACTGTGTATTTCATTGTTTTTGAAAGTTAAATTTTTCTTAGGAAAAATTCCACCTGATTACAAAATATAATCCTTCTGCATATATTGCCTGATTTGATTTGCTAGTATTTTTGTTTGTTTGTTTTTGCCAGGCAGAGTTAGACAGTGAGAGAGACAGAGTTATATACAGTGAGAGACAGAGAGAAAGGTCTTCCTTCGGTTGGTTTAATGGCTGCTACAGCCGGCGCGCTGCGCCGATCCGAAGCCAAGAGTCGGGTACTTCCTCCCAGTCTCCCATGCAGGTGCAGGGATCCAAGCACTTGGACCATCCTCTGCTGCCCTCCCAGACCACAGCAGAGAGCTGGACTGGGAGAGGAGCAATCGGGATTAGTACCCGGCAGCCCAACTGGGACTAGAACCCAGTGTGCTGGCGCCGCAGGCAGAGGATTAGCCAAGTGAGCCACCACGGCACTGGCCTGATTTGCTAGTATTTTGCTGAGGATTTTTGCATCTGAATTCACAGGATATTGGTGGTAGGCAGTTTTCTGAAAAGGAAAACTTTGTATATCTTTGTTTGAATTTGGTATCAAGATAATACTGAAATGACATATTCCCCCCTTTTCTGCTTTTTGTAATAACTAGTAATAACTCTTTAAATGTTTAACAGAGTTTATCAGTTAAGTCATTTGGGTCTGAGTTTTCTTTCAGGAATTTTTTAAATTACTAATTTAAATTACATATTATAGATCTATTCAGACTTTTTACTGTTTCTTTTATCAGTTTCTGATTTGTGTATATCTAGGCATTTGCTCATTTTCTTCTTGTTCA